AAGTGTTCCTCAAGTGTTCTGGTAAGTTCTTAAAGTTTCAGAATCTTGGCTTTAGAGGAGCTCTTAAAAGACCACTCCTCTATACTTCAAACCCTTCTACTCACAAGCACACAGCCAGCTTCTGCCTCGGACCCTCCAGATGTGGGGAACTCACTGCCTCATGAAGCAACGATCTCCTTGGCCTCTGAGCACTGCAGCGATATACCTTATGTTGAGTCTCAACCTCTCTCTCTCTGTAGCATCTGCCCTTTTGGTCCTAGTTCTTGCCCTTTAGCCTCACCAACAAGCCATTAATTCCTTTTCCTTAAGACAACCCTCTGGGAAGTTGAGTCTAGTTCTCTGAGAGAGAAATCTCTCCTTCGTTCCGATAAACATCCCACATCACCTTAACCATTCCCAAAAGGACCTGGCTTTGAATTTCTTCTTACCCAATCATTCCCCATCTTCTTCTTCTTTTTTTTAATCTTATCGTGGTAAGAACACTTAACATGAGATTTGCTCTTGTAGCACATGTTTTAGCATACAATACAGAATTCTTCACTCTAAGGACAGAGTGGTACAACAGGAACTCCAGAACTTATTCATCCAGGATAACTGAGAGTTTCTGCCTCATTACCCCCTCCCCCTGTCTCCCACAAACACAATTCTGTGCTCTGCTTCTGTGAGTTTGACCACTTTACATACTTCACGTTAAGTAGAATCACGCAGTTCTGGTCTTTCTGTGACCAGCTTCTTAGCAATAACAACCTCAGAGTTCGCCATGTTGTTGCATACAATAGGCTTTCCTTTTTTTCAAAGGCTGTGTGGTGTCCAGGGAATGTCTCATTTTCTTATTTCTTTTGAAAAGTATGGCTCCCAGGACTTGGCTCCAGGTTCCAGGTTTCTCTAGCCTGTGCAGAAGGAATGAGGTTATCCCTGCCTTTCCTGTATTGATTATAATTTTCACTTGGCGTCACTGCCCTACTGAGCTGGAAGTTATCTAAAACACTTGGGCCTTTTCCCTGGTTCTCCTGCTAAGCTGACTCTATCCCCTACTGTGCTCATGCATTTGGTATTTTATCTCCAGGACAGGATCTTGTAACTTTCCAATCTGAATCTCATTTCTCGTGCTTGGTCTGTCTGCTCATCAGCCTTTTGAGGGCTTTTTGGATCCTGGTTCATTCTCTAGTTTCTTCCGCCTGGGTAGATACAATGAGCCTGGCTGCTAGGTCCTTATTTAAGGCATTAACTAGGACAGGGTGGATGCCAGCTCTCTGTGACAGGTCACCGGAGGTTCTCTGTAGGACAAGGGTACTTAATATCCGATCCCAGATGCACTGCATAGGTTTCTTCCGAGATACTTGTTTAAAATATCATTTGCTGATTACTCTGAAATACAGAATCCGAATCGAGAGAAGTGGGGACCTGGAACCTGTTTTTAATAAGCACTCAAGAAGATCACACTATGTAGCCAGGTTCAGCAAACATCAATTCCAATTCACTGAGTTCAAAAGCCCAAAGCAAATGCCAGTTTGATCCGGTCCAGAGCTGACATCTGAGGAGTCAGGCTGCTGAGATGGGGTGGAGCCCTGGCAGAGCATTGCCTGGTCCTATAGACTGTCCACCCATGCCATGCGCCCATCTGGGCAAGTGTTACTCAATCGCACTGGACATATTTCTGCTCTTCCCCTCACCCCCCTCCTCTGCTCTTTGCATCTGTCACTCTGGCTTTGTGTCTTAGCTTCTATACCAGCTTCAAGTCCTGGATTTTGGCATCACATTTGACCTCCCCCGGCCCCTACCGAGCTTACTGGTCTTGGTTTTCCATGGGTGCTCTGTAGACAGCTCTGACTTGGCAGTCCCCATGACTTCTGGCAAGAGACTCCTCTTCTGGTCCTGGTGTACCGAAATGAGCAACTCTCAGATCCAAGGGAGTGTTCACTGACTATATGGCCCACACCTGCTAGCTTCTCAAGGCCAGGACCTTACTTGTTCAGATTGGCATCATATTTATATCAGTTTTATTCTCACAGTGTCTACCTTGTCCAACATACAGTACGCCTGGGATGGTAATAGTAGATGCTTACTAAAATTTTCAGAAGAATTTATTCTGATGAAATAACTGGAATTAGTGAAAGGACCACTAATTCTTCTAAGCATGACAGATGTGTTTGAATCTTAGCTCCACTGTTCTTTTTAACTATGTGGTCTTAGGAAAGACAATCTTTATGAACCAAGCATGTCACAGCTAAACGTGAGATATGTCAGGTAGGTGACTAAGGATACTTTTAGTCCTCATGCTGCATGGTTCTTAAGTCACAGACCTCCCCTTGCTGGCTGGTACCCTCCTTCAGGGTCCTCAGGAGGCAATTCTTTGCAATCAAGCCTCACTGTAGAATTCACTTCTCCCAACAGCACCTGGCAAGCTTTCGGCAGGCCCTTCATGAGCATAATCACTCCACAGGCATCCTCCAGCCCCCACTAATCAGCCCGTCCTGTCACTTTAATTCAGCAGCACTCCACCACTCACCTAAGTAATCACTCTGGCTTCTGCCCATGAATTCCTTTCATCCACTTTTGTTTATCACTGTTGAAGCAATTTTTAATCAAAACAATTAAATATGCTAAATCTTCCTCAATTAGTAGTGCATTAAAAATTAAAAGTACTTGAATGGAAATGGCAGAAGAAGCCGTTTGCTTGGTGCTGAGTGCTAGTGCTTAAAGGATCACTTCTCCCAGAAACTCTCAGCTCAGAGTTATTCAGAAATCACTGCGCAGAGGATCAGAGGGCCCCAGCCAAGAGGGGCCTGGGGATGAGTAAGTCTAACTCCTTCTCTCCATAAATGGGAAACTGAGACCCTGGGAGATTGGGGACCTTTTCTAAGTTCATACAGGGTGTCAGGGACTGGGATGTGTTTTGTTTCACTTTAAAAAAAAAATAAAATTTATATATATTTAAAGTATACAGTATGATAATTTTATATATATATATGTATATATAAAATGAAATGATTATTACAGTCAAGCTAATTAACATATATTCTCCTCACTAGTCAGGTGTGTGTGTGATAAGAGTACTTGCAATCTACTCCCTTTGCAAATTTCCAGTTTTCAATACAGTATTATTAACTAGAGTCGCCAGGCTGTATATTAGCTCTCTAGGTTTATTTCTCCAACACAACTGCAACCTTGTGCAGCATCTCCCCTTTTCCCAACCACCTCCTTGTCCTGGGAAACCACCATTCTACTCTCTGCTTCTATATATGTGACTTTTGTAGAGTTCATGTATAAGCACGATCATAAAATTTTTTTTCTTTTTGTGTATGACTTATTTCATTTAGTATAAAGTCCTCCAGTTTCATCCACATTGTCCCAAATGGCAGGATTTCTTTGAGTTTTAAGGTAGGATCTCTTTATATGGGATATATCTATAGGGTGTGTGTGTATATATACATATATATACACACACACATATATATGGGCTATATAGAGTGTATACATATGTATATAATTTTATACATAATAATTACATATTATATTATAATTATATACACTATTTAATATATATAATTATGTATCATACATTATTTATATGTAAGTATATAACTTATAATTTATAGAATTGTAATTATTATATATGTTGTAATTATTATATATAACTATTTGATCATTATTAATTATATAATATGTATATAATTATTCTATGTATAGTAATTTCTTTGTCCATTCATCTAAGTGACTGGGATTTCAATTCATGATTCCTGACTTCTAAGATTCTTTCCATCAGAAGCTGTTACCAAACAACTTTTGGCATTCATTTTCATTCATCAATCATTTATCCTAAGAGTATTTACTGAGATCCTCCTCCATAGCAGACTGACAGAGTGGTAAATAAGATGTCAGTGCTTGACCTCATAGAGTTTAGTTTCATGGGAATGCCAGCAAGTAAACTTGCTGTCCAAAACTCCCTTGAAAATATTGAATCTAATTTTAGCTTAACTGAATTACAACCTAAATGATTTTTCCTTTGTGGTTGTCAGGATAATACACTGACTGGTTGTAATTATTTATAGTTTCAGTGAAAAGCAATAATGTGCTGAAAATGCAAACTTCGGTTCACAGCCTTCAGAAGACTTTAGCTACAGAGGGAGTTGAACTCTGTAGCAATGGTCAATATTTTGCTCCAATCTGCTCTTCTAGCCTTATCTTGCCAGTTGACCAAGGGTTGGAAACCCCCATCTGTTCACCTACAGGCTGTGGGATTTGGGGCAAAATGACATAATTCTTTTGAGAATTATGTTCTTCATTTGCAAAATGCAGATTTCTCAGCAGCTCCTCAGATATAGACAGAGACAGCTAGTGTGGGCCTCATGGTTCTCATGGGGTCAGAAGTCAGGCAGCCTCCCCATGGAGATCTATCAAACTTCTGACAACACCTAGCCTCTCTGAAGTGCAAAGAGGATCTGGGCAAAAAGAATTGGGACACAAATGATCATTCAGGCCCAAACAAGGCACATGGCTATCTCTGAAGAAAGGGGGAAGTGTTCTGAATCAAAAGTGCTTCATAGAAGAAATAGTAGTTGAATTGGAGCTTGTGTGGAATTCAGAATGACAGTGAAAAAGGAGAGAGGAAGGGGCAACATATGCAAGATTGGTGCCAATCATGGGCCAGGCACTGCACCAGGCGCAGGGGTAAAGGAGATGAATCAGACAGAACCGCCATCTCCAGGAGGCCCCGTGGAGAATGTGCAAAGGAAAAGGAAAAGTCCTTTTGACCAACTAGCGTGTGCAATCCATATTCCTTCTTATTTCAAGAATATCTGCATTGGGACCATAGAGAAGAAAACCCTGAAACTGAGTTAAAGAACAGGGATTTCAACCCGGATCTCTTAGACTCTAAAATAGAAGCTAGTTTTTACTGCTGTGAGCTGGTGAGCTATGAACTACTATTATGAGCTGGTTGTACATATTCACTGTCTTTCGTGTCTCAGCATTCTGTGTTTCTCTGCTTCCTGTTGCAGGTGTTACCAGCAGTGAAATCAAGAGATGCTTTGGAGTCTCTTTGGGCATTGAGTATGAGCATACAGAGGAGACAGAAATTGGAGGACGTTTATCAGTAGGACCCTGTGAAAAATCTGGAGATGGCAAACTAAGCAAGTATTAATAATGGGCTTCCCCCAAAAGAAGCCAGAATCACCCTTGAACACATAATCGGGGCATATACGTTCTCCTTCCCAATTGATTCCATTTCAGTCGATGGTCACACTGTATCTGCTGAATATCCCAAACCAAGGACCTGTAGTGACCCTATTTTGAATCTCAACATGGGCTGAGATCACCTTAGAAATGCCTGACTTCCTATTTATACAACCTCCTAGATTTCAAGCACCAGACAAAGATCTGAGTAAGAGCTGGGAGGAAAGGCATGTGCAGACAGGATCTGGAAAGTTAACGGTTGAGATCAAGTCCCATCAGGTACAGCTCAGAGGGAGGACACAAGTTTGCTTAGAGAGTAAACTGTGGTCACCAAGTCCAAGTTCAAAGAATAAGTATTTGAGAAAAATTGTGCAAGATATTTTATAACATCTGCACAGGTCACTATACATGCTCATGTATTCATTCTTTCATTCAACATGTATTGAGTCATTTTTTCCAGGTGGAAGACACACAAGATGCAAGGATGCTGAAATAGTTTATAATAGATGAATAAGTAGATGAGGTTCAAGTTACTTCCACTGCACTGGGCTACTCATGTCTCAGGGTCTTAAGTTAAATGTTTCTCTCAGTTGCCTTTCCCTCCTCCCTCCATTAACCTGGCAAGATTTATGCATTCTTCCAGGAAACTGACTTTTTACCTGACCACCTCCCCACTCCTACTGTAGATCTGACCACATCTTTCTCTGAACTCCTTCTGAGAAATCAGTTATAGCACCTATAATATTTGGTTGAAGCTATTTGGCATATAGCAAGCACCAAGCCAACACTTGGCATGTAAACGAATACATGAATGAATCAATCATTATCCATTTTCCCATCTTCTCCCTCCTCCATGTTGGGTTGAGCTGTCTTCCCAGGGCCTGCTCTAATCCAAAGAATGAGTCCATTTCCAAGTGTTGGGTGCTTCTTTTCTGCCTTGTCCTGCTGGTTAACTGAGAAAGGTAGAAGATTGGGAGATGGCTCTAAGGAGAGTACTTAAACTCTGTTCCAAATCTCATCTAGTAGAGCTTGCCAACTGGTCCTTTGGCATCAAAGGAAATGGGCTAACGTGACTATTCTCTCGATGGTAGCTGACAACGAGAAGGCCATGGGAGTGGAAGAACTCATTTCTCTGGTGCGCGGGGGCAGCTCTGGTTGGGGAGGTGGCTTGACGCAAGACAGCAGCATCATTATGTACCGTTCCTGGGGAAGGTCATTAAAGTATAATCCTGCTCTTATTGATTTTGAGGTAAGTCTTTTTGCAGTTGAAGAAACTCTAGGTCCACAAGGAATGAAAGTGAAGCAGACCAGATCATTTTATATTTCTTATTATGAGTCCATCAAGAAACAAGATTAAATGTCACGGCACGCGGAACTGGCGGCCTTACCCAAGCCTGACTACAGGGATGCGTGACTCTGTGTGCTAGCTACAGGAGAGCTGGGGTCACAAGCTCACTATCTGGTTATGGTCTAGTGTTATACTAGTAGTCCCACAGGAGAGCTGGGGTCACAAGCTCACTATCTGGCTATGGTCTAGTGTTATACTAGTAGTCCCAGAAATTCTTCAGGAGTAGGCCGCCTTATATAAAAAAGCACTACTCACACTTATACATAAAAGACTTTAAAATCACATCTGCTAAGTCAGAGGCTGGCAAACTTTTTTCTGTAAAGAGCAGATAGTGAATACTTTAGGTTTCTAGGCTATATACCGTCTCTTTCATATATGTTCTTTTTTTTCTCCAATCTTGTAAAAATGTTGAAGTCATTCTTAGCTCAAAGGCCATACAAAAACAAGCTGTGAGCTTAGTGCGATTTCAAGCTATAGACTGCTGCCCCTGCTCTAAATGATCTAATCACAATGACCTCTGGCACAGATAGGATTCCCCCCATTGAAAAGATTAGGAAACTGAGGTTCCAAGTCATCAAGGGAATCATTTAGGTCACAGAGCCCATACGTGGAAGTACCTGGATCCAAAACCTTTGGATTTTATGTCCAGTTCTCTCTTCCCTCTATTCTAGCACCTTCCTTAAAGCCATGGTTCTCAGCCACTAGGGTCAATTTTTCTCCCCCCAGGAGACATTGGGCAATATCTGAAGACAATACAATATTTTTTACTGTAACAGCTGAGAAGATGCTATTGGCATCTAGGGGCCAGAAGCCAGAGAGGCTGCTAAACTCCCCCCCAATGCACAGGGCAGCCCCCACAGCAAGGACACATCTGGCTGCTGGTGCTAACAGTGCCAAAATTGAGAAAGCTTGCCTTAAATCTCTAACCCCACAAAGGAAGTAAAGTTGTATTCAAACTGTAAAGCAAGTGAATTGTTCTACCAGTATCATCACACTATTCAATTCATATGCAAGAAAATCCAATACTATCTTTTGGGAGAAAGAACTTGAGTTTAGGGTGAAGAAGATGTAGGCCATTAGAAAATGAGAGTTGCATTTTGGGTTTTTAAGTAAAATATTGCTTTCTTGCCCATTTTTCCTGACCTTTGCTCATTTTCTATATATAGTTAAAAATTCCAGGTGTGGACACATTCCTTCTCTTTAAAATATATACAAACAGTTAAACCTAAAAATCTATTACAACAACCTCTTTTCTATGAAGAAAGAGGTCAGATGGATTAACCTTGATTTCATTTCTTCTCCAGTAAGTAAGGGACCATTTTCACGCACCTGTAATTCACCTAGGGTCTGAAAATTGCTATCATCAAGCCATTAGTGATTTGGGCAAAACTATAAAATTGATATCAGGAGTAACATATTAACTTTCATGGGCAAGAGGTAATCTCTTTGTTTGCTTTGAGCAAAACTTCCAAGGGGAAGACTGACGTGAATGATTTGGAGAAGACCCAGTACTGTCTTTTAGGAGAGAGAGCTTGGGTTTGGAGTGAAAAAGATGTAGTTTGGCTCACGGATCAGCCACCTTTTTGATGTGTGTGTGTGACCTTGGATGAGTTACTTTATTTTCGGAGACTCAGGGTTCTGCTCTGTAACATGGGGATAGTAAAATGTTATATCTCAAGGTTAGGGAGAGAGACGTCAGTATTTAGTGAAGTCAGATGAGGAGGCAGGTTTGTGGAGGTGAAGAAAGCTGGCCAAATCTCAGAACTAGAAAATAGCACAGTCCAACTGGAGCCAAGACTGACTGATTCTAATGCTCAGGATCTCTTCACAACCCATGATGACCCCTAGAAGATTGGATCTGATGCATGAGGCTGTTGGCAGGTCATAGAGCAGGGGATTGATGCAACTAAAGCTGTGCTTTAAAATGAAAATGATCAGAGACAGACAGACAGATAGACAATCAGACTACAGACATGGAGGGGAGGCCAGTTAGAGAGTTATTTGGAACTTGATGCTCAGAGTGGAAACAGTCTTACTCAATTGCATATTCCCAGAGCTTAGCAGTGTCTATTTAGGGCAGGTGCTTAGATTGAGTGAACACAGGAATCATGCCATGTGATGTTGTTGTTACGGTATGCATTATTATATGCTATATGTTATTTTATAGTGTGTTGATATCATACTACTTTCCTTCTCTGATTTATTTTTCATTTGTAAAATGGGAACAAGACTGTTGCCAATAGCTTTCAAGCTCTAACATTTTAAGAATCATTTCCCCATCCTTCTTCCCTCTTTAAGTCCCACCAGCCCTTCCATACCCTCTTCTTGAGGATTCAGTGAATAGAAAGGAGAGATGGGGGTCTGAGTTCTGGGCTCCCCCGGAAGGTCAAAGGGAAGCTGCCCAATGGTCCTGGCTTTCTCTGGAACTAAGAGTCATATTTATCCAGGGCAGTCCATTCTGCACCAATTTCCTAACAGTGGGGCCAATTCCCTGCACTTCCAGTAATGGTCTTCTCCCCTTGGCTAAGGGCCCAGCCAGTACCAACATGATCAGCCTGGTGACCTCAGCCACAGCCCCTGGTCACAGGACAAGGTTTGTTTGCCACAGGTCTTTCTGTACACATTTCAAGGAACCCACTCAAAACATGGCGAGTGCCCTTACTGACCTCTGATTCTTGAGAAGTAAGTTTGCTCCACTGGGGTTCAGTCCCATCTCAGAATGACCCTGTGACCTTGGCAAATCCTTCCTCTCTCAGCTCCTCAGGTTCCTCTCCTGTGAAATGAGAGACCTGGGAAAGAGTTTTCATTTTATGCTTATGTGTTTTAAAAATAGTGTTATAAGCATATCGAAGATAACCATATATACATGCAATTGAAAAAAATTTTTTTTTACTATCATCACATCTAACTAATAAAAATGGTGCTCTATTTTATACTGTTCTCCCTCTTTGCAATGGTATCTCACATTCATTATTTCCTTAGATCCTCATGTGAATTTTAAGTAGGTTATTATTCCCATTTTATAGATAATGGGTCTCAGGCTTAGGAGGGGCAGTTCCGGGCCACACGGCTGAGAAGTGAGCAGCATTCATTTAGCTGTGACTCTGTGACAGTCCTTCCCTGTCTTTCAACTTTAATCCTCTTAATAAACCAGGAGTGTAGGACTACTGTTCTCATTTTACAGATGAGGAAGGAAGGCTCCATGTGTAACGGGACAGAGACCACACAGCTAGAAGTGGCAGAGCTGAGATTTGAAGCCAGATTTTCGAGCCCCAGATTCAATGCTTTCTGCTCTATCTACTACTTTCCAAGCAGGGGTTGACCACCCTTTCCCCACTAGGGGATATCTAGCAATGTCAGACGGTACTGTACTCCAGTACTCTTGCCTGGAGAATCCCATGGATGGAGGAGCCTGGTAGGCTGCAGTCCATGGGGTCGCTGAGTTGGACATGACTGAGCAACTTCACTTTCACTTTTCACTTTCATGCACTGGAGAAGGAAATGGCAACCCACTCCAGTATTCTTGCCTGGAGAATCCCAGGGACGGGGGAGCCTGGTGGGCTGCCGTCTATGGGGTCGCATAGAGTTGGACACGACTGACGTGACTTAGCAGCAGCGGCAATGTCCGAAAACAGTTTTGGTTTTCATGGCTAGAAGATGCTATTGATATCTGGTGGGTAGAAGCCAGCAATGCTGCTAAAGATCATACAATGCACAGGCCGGGCTGTCCCTGCCAATAAAGAATTATTCAGCTGGAAATGCAACAGTGCTGAGGCTGAGAAACCCTGGACTACATTCCTGTCTAGAATGGGCTGCTGCAAATATAAAACAACCCCAGCATACACACAGGCAAACCCCACACTCACACCATTAGGGGTTGTGCTCAGCAGTGGCAACACAACTGCCTGTCAAGAACTTATTAATCCCTGCATTGAAGGCTGACAATAAAACACACACACAGAGATGTAAGTCCTTTATACACTTCCTGACTCCTAAGAATGCTGGAGGGGGCGGATGAGTTGGCACAGATAGCTTTTGGGTTCTTGTCTTCCTCTGGGATCTGGGGACCACAGGTTTCAAAGTTACGTAGCTCCATGTTCAGCATGGCCCATGGTGTGTGGTCCTGAGCTGGTCACTCAAACGCTCTCAGACTCTGCTTCTTCATCCGTGGCCTGGGAAACCTAATAACCGCTTTACAGAGCAGCTGCTTGGATCTAATGCAGCAGGATAATCTGGCTCTGTGCCTGGCATGCAGCAGGCCTCCCCGAGGCTTGATGACCAGTTCTTGGGCTCTGGGAAGCTGTACAGAGCCCAGGGCGCAGCCCTCTGGTCTTTCTGTGCCCACAGATGAGGCCGATCCATGAGATCCTGCGGCACACGAACCTGGGGTCCCTGGAGACCAAGCGCCAGAACCTGCGGCGGGCCCTGGACCAGTACCTGATGGAGTTCAACGCCTGCCGCTGTGGGCCCTGCTTCAACAACGGGGAGCCCATCCTCGAGGGGACCAGCTGCAAGTGTCAGTGTCCCGTGGGTCGCCAGGGCCTTGCCTGTGAGCAGGTGCAGTCAGAGGGTAAGGCCATGAATCCTCACTCAGCTTCTAGCTTACTCCAGCTCAGAGGGTTCTTGGGGTTCCCAGCCTCTCTGCTCTGTGCCCTCTTGCCCACTGCTCTAGGAACCCACATTCTGAGCTCTGTGACTGACCCCCTGCATTTACCAGTTCTTATGCTCTCTCCCTGCCGTCGGGACCCTCTCTCAAATGAGAACAGTTTTAGACCGAGGCGTATATGGACAACAGGACTCATTTCTAAAGGGATGTATTCATTTCTGAAGGCTGCCATAACAAAGTAGCAAAAACGGGGTGGCTTATAGCAATGGAAATTTATTGTCTCAGACTTTTAGAAATTAGAAATCCCATTCTGGGTATACTGGCCAGGCTGCTTTCTTCCAGAGGCTCCTTGGGGGAATGTGTTCTTTCTCCTAGCCTCAGGCGTTTTTCAGCAACACTAAGCATTCTTGGCTTGTAGCTACACCATTCCAGTCTGCCTCTGTCTTCACAAAGTGTCCTCCATTCTACATTTCTGTTTTCTTATAGAAACACTAGTCATTGGACTAGGACCTACCCTAATCCAACATGACATCATATTAACTTGATTTTATCTTCAAAGACCGTATATCCAAATATGGTAACACTTGCAGGTTGAACATCAACTTATCTTTTGAGAGACATTATTCAATCCACTACAAGGGATAAATAGCTTCTCATGACTAAAAACAAGCTTGAGGCAAGTAATGTAATGCTTAAGGTTTCAAAGTTAAACATATTAAGCTGCAATACAAAGCAACTGCATCAGAAAAGAAGTTTCTCAAATGAGGGTCCAAGTCCCTTAAAGATGAAGTCTAGAGACCTGAGTGTGAATCTCAGCTATTTCACTAACTTAGTGATATGCTGATAATCATTTCTTCTTTCTGGGACTCATCTTTCTCATCTATGTTTCCATTTGAGCTCCAAGAAGCTCTATGCATGTTTTAATCCCTAAGCTTCCAATTTTTCCATGTATACTTGGTACACAGAATGATGGTAAAAATACAGGCTACCAAATCAATGTATAAATCAGTCTCATTTGACAACTGCAATGATGAAAATGTAAAGAAAAATAATTCTGGGTCTGTCTAAGTTTATCTATAAAACAAACTATTGAAGCACAGGGTAGATGGGATAAGGAGCCTGGTTTTAGAGTGAGATGATGGTGGATAACAATTTTATCAATGGGAGAGTTGTTCTAAATGGGAGGCAAGATAACACAGCTGTGGTGTCAAATAGGCCTTCACATCCCAGTGGTGCTAATTTTCATGCTGGGTAGGCATCCCCTGTAAAGTGGGGATGATGTTGGTACCTGCATCACAGGTTGTGCTGAGGATTAAACTAGCTAATCTGTGTAGCAAGCTCAGTTCTAGTAAGGAAAAAGAAGAGAGAACTCTACTGGTAGAAGATCTGTCCTGAGTTGGAGTTGCATCTAAATCCCTCCTTTGTGGGCTAAAGGGAATATAAATGGGGTCCCAACAAGCTGCCTGATATCCTGTAGGAAGAATTCCAAGAAGGGTAAGCCAAGATGTGAGTCAATTCCAGAGTCCTTATGAAGGAAGATGCAGAGAACAAAACCCAAGCAGAACAATTACATGGGCCAAGCCTGGTACAGTTTCCTCATGGGAACTGAAAAAAAAGAAACTGCCTGTTAGGTGTGTAAGTTGGGAGATACACAGAAAATCGTGCAGGGTTGATACTGCCCAGCTCCAAGGCCCAGGGATTTCTTAACTTTTCAAGCAGAGTTTGGACTGCGTTTCAGCCCCCATTTGCCTCATTGGCCAGGCAACTTTCCAGAGGAACCAAAGGTCAGTGAACAGAAAGAATAACAAATCCTGCACCAGGCACTATTGCAAAACTTCATGTGCATGAACTCCTTTATCCCTCTAAGAATGGGATGTTGTCATTCTTCAGTCCCTAAATTCTGTCTGAATCTTTGCAACTCTAGCGACTGCAGCATGCCAAGCTTCCCTGTCTTTCACTATCTCCTGGAGTTTGCTCAAATTTGTATCCATTGAGTCAGTTTTGCATTATTACCCCAGTTCACAGATGAGGACACAGGGGCAGAAGGAAGATGAAACAACTTGCTGGTCATCTATTTGGGGAGAATCAGAGCCAGCATTTGGACCCACAAGATCTGATGTTAGGACCCAAGCTCTTAACTGTTACATTCTGTTAATTGACATTCTAAGACAAGGGTCCCCAACCTTTGGGCCGCGCACCTGTAGATGGCATTAGGTTAGAAATAAAAGTGCACAATAAGCGCAATGTGCTCAAATCATCGTGAAACCATCTTGCCTGCCCCCCGGCCTATGAAAAAACTATCTTCTGTGAAACTGGTCCCTGGTGCCCAAAAGGCTGGGCACTACTGTCCTAAGAATCAGGACATGTGGGGAATGAGGGCAGAGAGTCTGAGATGAGTGCACTGACTATCACTTTGGGGAGTGGACAGGGAGGATATGGTCCAAGTGCTGGTTATAAGGTGACCGGCTCTAACAGAACAGATGTCGGCTCTATCTGGATAATTAGAGTCAGAGCATGTCAAGGGCCCCTAGAGCCGGGGACTTGTCTAGATTCCTGTCCACACAGCATAGTGCAAAGGGAACAGAGGGTGTGGACTACCCAGAGATGCCTCGCCAATGATCCAGTGCTTGGCTTGGTGGTGACCACGCTGAGTCACATGAACCATGGTGGGCACTGGAGAAGGGGGACATGATAACAATGATCTAGGGGATGGCAGGGCACAGAGCGCTGGGTCCTCCTCACGGCCCTGTTTTTCCTACAAGATTACATTTAGTCAGTTGCATACAGCTCATGGGGGTTCCATGAACCTTGTTCTAAGCAGGGTATGGACCTCGGGTGGCCGTGAGGCTATCAGACTGAACTTTCAGCCAGAGAGAGATCAATCTGGCAAGGAAATCTAAGGCTGGGGAATCAGCCACCATGGAGACCCACTGATGGAGGGCCTGAGGGATTTTCCCAGCAAATCTTTGCCTGTAGGGACCAAGCTGCAGAGGTGGGAGGAATAGAGAACCCTGCTGTGGCTACCCCACCAGGGAGTATAATTACAGAGCTGGAAGGGACTTGAAGATAATCTAACCCAATGATATTCACATTGGGATCTGACGAAGCCTGGGGTCTCCTAGGGGCTGCCCCAGGGGAGCAAGGCAAACCTAATAGACACCCCAACTTCAAATAGGACAGCTTCACTTTCATCTGACTTCCATGTCAGGTCCCATCCAAGATTTCATTTAAGAAAAAAAACATAGTAATGAAAAAAGTTATGATGGAAAAACCCCACTGGATGAATCCATCCTTTTCCTTTACAGAGGTGAAAACTCAGGCTAAGAGAGGAGATGGGCTGGTCCAGAGGCATACAGGCAGTGGAAGGCAGCAGTCCCAGGCTGGAGGGATTGTGTAAGCTGGGTTTCCAGAGACAGTGCATGTTCAGCACACGGGTTCTGATGCTCTGTGCAGAGAATATATCAACCACTGGGGCTCCATCATCAGAGACCGAGGGGGTTGGTTTTTGAACCCTCATTTAAAAGCCCAGTAATCTTTCCCCTAGGGATGTCTGGCTGGCCTTTGTCTGTGAAGCCCCAGCTGGGACGAGCTCCCTCTCTGCACACACTTCACTGGCTTGGAGTCATTCTTCCAGAGGCACATGCCTCCATGCCTCTCTCTGCTATCCATCTTCCATGGAAGCACAGGTTCCATTTCATGAGATGGGCTCCCAGTGGCCTCTTGTCACTCCACCCAGAGTTTCAGATTAAGTGCGAGGCAGCGAGCACAGAGGCCTTGGTTGGCTACACCCAGGCATTTCCCCACGGAGAGCTTATAGACCACTCTAGGGCGGTGGGATGGGCTTCACTCTTGACCATCCGAGCTGCTGCTGGCATGCTAACCTTGTTCCCCGGGAAATCATCCACTCAGGAGCCAAGGCGGATGGTCGTTGGAGCTGCTGGAGCTCCTGGTCGGCTTGCAGATCGGGCACCCAGGAAAGGAGGAGAGAGTGTAACAATCCCGCACCCCAGAACGGAGGTGCCTCATGTCCAGGCCACAGGGTGCAGACCCAGGCGTGCTGAGTGCCTCTGGGCACAGGCTGGAGTGGGGACAGGGGATGTCACTGCTTGCGCTGACCAATGGATACAGACCTCACTCAGCTGACAGAAGATACCCACCAGCATGGACTTTTTCTTTGTCCTGGACCAGACTGTGCCGTCAACAACCAACTGTTCTATCACCCACATAACTCAGTCAAAACTGGGTGTTGAGAGTTAATTAGAGGGTTAGCTGCTCATGGCACTTTGGATCATCCAAAAAGAGAAGAAAAGGAACTATCTCCATGCATGTCTTAGAGGAACTTTTAGGATGGTGGAGGAACAGGCAGGCAGATACTTTTGAAACCATCAATTACCAATAAAACAAAGTACCATGAGAATGATCTCAGTTCTTTGATAACATTTATTCATTTGTAGAACCATTATTAGTTTGCAAGATAAGAAGACATACTGAAACAAAGAGAAAAATTAAAGACTGACTCAAGTTCCTTCAATTTTCCTTCACTGGGACTCAACATATTCTAGTATTCCTTCAATTAATCTCTCGTGTTTGCTTGAGTTCTTACCACAAATATCACTTTTCTCCCACTTATTTTCTCACAGCATGCTAGTCTTTTCCTTCATTGCCTTTTTCACAATTAGTAATTATAAATTGGATCCCACATTTCCTGTGACTATTTATGACCTCTTCTCTCCCCATGGATGGTAATCTTGAACGCAGGGATCAGCTTTGTCTCATTCAGCACTGTGTCCCCAGAGGTCAGGGCTGCGCCTTCAATTGGAGGGAATTAACAAGCATCTGTGGGTGAAGTGAGGGACTGAACTAAAGTCACTTCAGAAATGTGGTCTCTCCTCCACTCCCAGAGTGGAGTGTGAAATCCATGCATCTGCCAGGCACCTCGGGCTTCCCTTCGGATTCAGCTGGTAAAGAACCCACCTGCAATGCAGGAGACCTGGGTTCGATCCCTGGGTTGGGAAGATCCCCCAGAGAAGGGAACGGCTACCCACTCCAGTATTCTGGCCTGGAGAATTCCATGGACCGTATAGTCCGTGGGGTCGCAGAGTCAGACATGACTGAGTGACTTTCACTGTGCTGTGACCTTGCCCACCTGTGGAAGAGCCAGTCATATCAGCCTGCCTCACTGTCCCCACAGTATTCCAGTCAGTCCTCAAAGAGAGAACATGGGTGTTACAGTGACTTTTCTGTTGACCCAAAGATTGTGAGCTCCTTCAAGGTAAAACCTGCCCTCTCAGTTGGTACAAAAACCATGTATTAACTGATATATATATATATAATCTCCCTATCCTTCCAGAATCCTCAGTCATTCATGCTGTCATTTCAGTCATGTCCAGTGCTTTGCGACCCTATGGACTGTAGACTGGCAGGCAGGTTCTATTACCATTTGGTGAGCCCTCTCAACCATTCATATATATACAAAAAAAAAAGAAAATCAGAAGTTAGTGTCATAGGAAGTTAACCACTGAATTAATGCCAAAATATAGGGCACAAAAAATAAGTGCCAAAGGAGACCAGGTAAAAGAGAGATTTACCCTTCCTTGTGTATATTAAATATATGGAATGAGGCTTGACCTAGACCTTGAGGGATTTTTGAACTAGGTAGAGGGGGAGAAGAACTTTAAGATAGAAATATAGCGTGTGAGAAAGTTTGAACCCGAGAGAGTATATTAGGGGTATGTGTGGGTGCGTATGTGTTGGAATGGGGAGTGGGGAATAAATTAAGTTATATAAAATACTTGGCACAATGCCAGTCATATGTGACATTATTAGCATCACTCTTACTGTTACTATTATGAACTAAAGGTTATAGTTTAGAAGTTTATTTCCGTATTCTAGATTGATCTGAAAGAAAAAGACCCTCATATTGTTTCTTATCCTGTCATTTACTTACTTCCTACTTTTTAAATTTAATTTATCATAATAAGTAATTTCCATTTATTATTTATTGGGGGCTTCCCAGGTGGCGCTAGTGGTAAAGAACCCACCTGCCAAAGCAGGAGACATATGAGACATGGCTTTGATCCCTGTGACAAGAAGATCCCCCAGAGAAGGAAATGGCAACCAGTATTCTAGCTTGGGAAATCCCACAGACAGAGGAACCTGGCAGGCTATAGTCCATGGGGTCGCAAGAGAGTCAGACACAACTCTGCAGCTAAACAACGACAACAAATATATATATAAAATATGCATGTATGTATATGTGTATATATATATCTGAATCACTTTGCTGTACACTTGAAATTAATACAATGTTGTAAATCAACTATACTTCAATTAAAAATAAATAAATCAATGAAAGCTTCCCAGGCAACTCCAACACAGTCAAGGCTGAGCATTCCTGAGAGTGGAGGAGTCACTACATGTTTCTGAAACGTGTGACAAAAGGTTCACCTGTGTACTTTATCCAGTCTTAATGAAGACCTCCTAGGTGTGTTTTACGAGTCCCATTTTACAGATAATGAAACTGAGTCTCAGTGAGGCTGCACCTGGCAGGTCACAGAGCCGCCCGGCTGGCGAGGGTGTGCATGCAGTCCACCAGGCATGCGCTCCCCCACCTTCGTTCTGGGCTCTCCGCCAGCGGAGGGATGTGGTGTGTGGGGTGCAGGGCAGGGGAGAAACAGACGCCACGGAGCTCATTAGGAAGTATAGTCCTTTAGATACAAGATGAGAACATTGGGATTAAACAATTGCCTGGCTCACCTATAAGCCAAAACGACCAGCTAAGCAATGCCATCTTCCTGTCGTCTGAAACACGGGAGCAAGGCCAATGTATGCCCTGCTCCTCTGAGGATGCTGAATCCCCAGCAGCTTTAGAAATGAAAATTCCGCAGCAGCAGTAGCAGCAGTTTCAGCAGCAGCAGCAGCCACCATTTACCAGCTCAGCATCTCTCCCTCTCCAAGAATGTCTGGCTCTCATCACGCAAAAGGCATAAAACCCGTCAAATGTATTCTCCCTCAGGTCTTTTCAGAAGATCTATAATCTACAGTTTTATAGGTAGTGGATGTAAAAACACGGTTTAAAGATATAATCTTCAGCTTGACAAGGTGTCTTTTGAAAAGTAAATTAATGACAGAATGAAAAGCAATAAGGAGAGGCTTTTTTCTTTTTTTCTGCTTTGAGATAGAGGAAGATCTAAAGAGTTCAGCACTCAATGAATCTCTTCTGAACTAGATGCCTTTAGGGTGAAGAAAATGGACAGAGAGAAAGGGGAGGCTTCAAAAACCACGGTGCAGAAATGAGAGACAGCAGAGGAAGCCGCCGGGCGCCGTTTGAGGAAGGGCAAGTGATACAGCTTGGCAGAAAGAGGCTTATCCTCTGTGAAGAAAATCGGGGCGGCTACCCTCTTGCTTGTGATATGGCCGAGCACTCTGGGAACCCCTGTACCAGGCCCTAGGCTGGGTGCTGGGGAACAGAAATGAATCAGACACAGTCCAGCACTGGAAGAATGTCTGGTCTGATGGAGGAGGTCTGTGAACGGGGCCTCAGGTCCCAAATCATCAGGAAGCCCAACCTGGGGAGCAGTAAGACAGCTTGAATAGGACAGGAGATGATGGCCAGCAGAGGCTAAGAAATGTGTGGGAGCTGACTCAGATGGTAAAGAATCTGCTTGCAATGAAGGAGACCCAGGTTTGATCCCTGAGGCAGGAAGATGCCCTGGAGATGGGAATGGCTACCCACTCCAGTATTCTTGCCTGGAGAATTCCACGAACAGAGAAGCCTGGTGGGCTATGGTCCATGGGGTCACAAAGAGTCGGACACGATTGAGCAACTAACACTAGAAAAGCAAAGAAAGGTGAAGAAGGGGTTGGACATTGCAGAAGAATTAGTGTGTGCAGAGCTGAGAGGTGGCCAGTTTCACAGGGGGGGTGGAAAATAGTTACTGCTCAGCTGCTGGGGGTGGTCACTGGTCCTCCTCGGGCTGGGGAGAGCAGAGTTTGACGTTTTGGTTTGGTCACGGGGCCTTTCCTGAGGGCAGCAGCGTGTGGTCCTGGGGAGATTTCCACAGAGGGCCACTTTCCAGTCACGACCCTGCCCTCCTTGAGAGGTCCTGGGGCTTCAACACTCCACAGTCATCATATTAAAGCATAAGAATCTAAAGCTGGATTCACAAGGTTTTCTCTGGTCTGATGCCACGGAACACTCCATCTTTTCTCCCTTTGCAGACTTTGTGAGACAATAGACCAAAAACCTGTCATCCCTAACAGGACAGAAAAGCCCTGAATGCGGAGCCCTCACCACTCTCTGATGTCATTTCCTTCCACTCACTCTTTCCACAGTCCTGCTCTTCCACTCATGGGAGCCTTTCTGCTGCTCCTCATGTGTGTCCAGCTCTCTCAGACCTCAGGACCTTTGCACCTGCTTTCTCCTGCGCCTGAAATGCTCATCCCCTGAAGGAGTTTATCCAAGACTCACTCTCTTGTTTCACTCACCTCTCTGCTCAAACAATTCCCCTCCAAACACCTTACCCTCTTTTATTTTTTCTCGTATGGCACTCATCACTACCTGAGATAATAGATATTTTTCTTGGTGTGCCTCCCCTCATTAATACGAAAGCCTTTTCATGGCTGGATCCCCAGTATCTAGAATAGCATTTCTCCTTAGGAGGGGACTAAGTAAATATTTGTTGTCTGAATGAACTACTGAAATGGCCAAAAAGTTTGTTCAGGTTTCTCCGTAAGAGCTGATGGAAAATGCTAAACAAACTTTTTGGCCAACCTAATATTTCCAATTTAATCCCCTATATAGGCTGTGTCCCCTCCAGGCTTTTGTATATACTGCCTGAGAGGCACTGCTGCTTACTGGCCCCCACCTTCTCCCAGCTCTTAACCAGCACTCTGCAGGGTAAGAATTAGCTGTCTGTTTGCCCAGAAAGCCAACCCTGACCTCTTCTGCTCCCCTACACTTCATCAGATCCTACTCCCCCACATAGCTCTGGATTTCAGAACTTTCCATACCCTATCACTGTAGCCAAGTTACCCAGTGACACCTTGCAGGGCAGATGGG